GATGTCTCTAAAAGCATTGTTTACTTCCTTTGCCTAATAGAATGCTTTATTTTCTTTTTTTATATTACTTCTTGTTTTTTCCTGGAATTAATGATAGCCCTATTTTTTTTTTACTTGCTTTGTTTTTTATCTTCATAAACATAGTTTTTTCCATGTGAATTTTTTTCCACAAATGTTCTGATGCAGCAGGTAATCTGTCCATGCCCCTTTTTTTCTGGAACTCCTGCCCCTCTGCTCCTGGGAGGCCCAGTGGGATGCACAGTTGACACCCTCGATCTCTCTCCTGGGTTGGAGTTCCTGTCTCCCATGCAAAATTTTTTGTTGTTATTGTTTACTAAATAAGATACCTAGTCCAGTATCTTTCTAAAACAAGATTTATGGAAAATAAATGTCCTGAGTTTTTGCATGTCTGAAATGTCTCCAATCTCCCCTCACATTTGCTTGATGGCTGGGTGGGGTCTGACATGTCACTGGTCATTTTCCCTCAGCATTTTGAAGCCATTGCTTCATTGATTTGTAGCATACGGTATTGCTACAGAGAAAGTGGGTCCCTTTATGACAACCAGTCCTCTTTATGTAATACGTTTTTCTGTCCAGGTGCTGCATGGGTCATCTATTTATCCTGGGTCTGGTCCCCACATTCACTTGCTAGGCACTTGGGGAGCCATTTCAGGCTAAATAAATTACTCCAATTCTCATTATTTCCTCAACTCCTCCCCTCTGCCTCCTCACTCCCCTCTTTCTGGAAACCTTGTCGGTTGGCACTGGGACCACCTGAATGGACAGATCCTGCTGGAGAGTGATAGGCAGAAAGCCCCCTGTTTTAGGGGGACCCCAGATGTCAGTGCAGGAAGAATTGTGCTCTGGAACAGGGTCTAGATTAGCCTGGTGGCAGCTCTCTGGGCACGGGAGGGCAGGTGCTGGGGACAACAGTGAGGGTGCAGACTGTTGTTTGGCCCCTGCCCAGTTCTTCATATCCCTGAGTCATGAGCCCCTTGGCACCTTCATAGAATGTACATCAGGTCACATCTTGGGCAGAAAGCTGCCTGATGTGGTGTGTGGTCGGTCATCTGGGGGGGTTCTTCTGCCCCACACCACACTCTGCCCTCTGTTCATTTCTGGACAGGGCCCCATTCCCTCTTTCATCAGACAATAAACAGAACATAAACAGCCAGTGTGTCTGGTGGTGTGTATAACGGGCAGGGAGGGCAGAGTGAGGGAGACAGGAGCAGGGCACCTGGGCAGAGGACAGCATGGGTACAGGCCTGTAGCCAGAGGTGCCTGCTGTGTCATGGCAGCAGTGAGTGAGGACCGGGGTGGACAAGGTGGAGGTGGGCGTCAGGTTCATGAGTTCCTGAGGAGGCCGACAGACTATGGGTGTGTGTACCTGCAGGGGCTCCCGCGTTGTCCAGATGAGAGCTGGGGAGTGGCCTAGGGCTGCTGACCCCTTGAGCAGGTTCCAGAGTCTGCCTGAGCCCTTTTTCTCCACCATAGGCCATGTCTGCGGGGGGGACAGAATGGGGGGGCACATTCCCCAGGGCATGGCAATGTCCTGCACAGAGAAGGTGCCACCTATCCATCCTGGTGCCCTTCCCAGTCACCATAGCATCCATCCCAACTGGGCCAGCATCCAGGGATGCAGTGAGGAGAGAAGGCACTCCGCTTAACATGCACATGGTGCACAGGGTGCTATGGGGTCAACGTGAGCCCCAGAGGCTCAGGGGGAGTCAGCTTCTCAGGCTTCACCAGAGACCACAAACAGGAAGCTCCAAGGACCAGAAGACTCATCCGCGTCTTCTGGAACCTGCCAGATACACCAGCGCCTACTGTACCCTTGGAGACCCCTCAGTGACCCCACCCATGGGGCCTTAAGCCTTCAAACACCCTGGTAGCCCAGCTATCTAACCAGGCACAGGGCAGCTCACACCACGGCTTCGAGGAAGCAGCCTGAGCTCGTCCTGCCTCTTGACTTGCTGTGTGACCCTGGGCGAGTCACACATCCTCGTGGGCTAGGAGCAGAGGGGCTTGAAAGCAGGCAGGCCTGCCTCTGGGGACAGGACCCCCACCGGTCCTGGCTGTCCAGATGGTAGCTGTAGGTCACTGGGTAACCATTACCTCGATGGCCAACATCAGTGCAACAGGAGAGACTCACAGCCAAGGGCTTCGGGGACAGCCACACCTGGTCTCCCCAGGACCTGGAGGCACAGCGGTGGGAGGGCAGATGGCCCTGTTCCCATCACAGGGACCCGTGAGGCTGTGGGAGCAGCTGAGGCTCCACCAGGCCTGCCCCTGTTGTGGGACACAGGACCTCAGCCTGAAGACCGTGGGGGCACACGCTGGGAGGGGTGCCCATGGTCTGTGTGCACGGTGTGTTCTTGCCCTCAGAGGTCACCTTGGGGCCATGTTGAACTCCAGCTGGCCTTGGCTGGCACCAAGTAGACAAGCCTCTCTGTCAGTTGACACCTCAAACTCTGCTTTTCTGTGTTCAGAAGGAACTACCAGGCTGGCCCATTTCCATGTGAGTGATCAGGGCCCCCCAGGCCTCCAGGAGTGGAGGAAGTCCCCGTAACCCTCAGCCTGCCCTTAGGGCCTAAGGGCACATGCAGGACCCAGCAGGGCAGGCAGCGGACACCGGCACGTGGGGCTGTGTTTGTTCATAGGTGTGTTTCTGGGTGCATCCCTGTGTGTCTGTCTTGGCCTCTTCAGAAGCACTTGACATGGTCAGGATTTATAAATGTCTTCTACTTCATTCCTTGAAAGTTGACCCTTAAAATGAACTGACCTTTCTTGTCCTGGCTACATTTAGGGGCTTTCTCACCGAACCAGGGTCTGCAGAGGAGAGGCCACCCACCCACCCCAGTGCTGAAGCTGCTGGGGACCTCCGGGCAGCAGCTTAACCTCTCAGGCTTGGTGTCCTCCACCGGGGGCTGAGGTGCTGTGTGAGGTGACCTCCCTGAGGCGCCTTCTGTCTTGGATCCCCTGACCATCTCAGTCTCGACCCTGGGGAGTCATGTTGGCCCTTCTGAGCACACACACAGGAGCCAGCTTCCTTCCTGCCCACTCCCCAGAGGAAGGCTCTGGTCAAGTGAGCTGAGAGGTCAGTGTGAAGTTACCGCTGGGACAGAGGCCCGCGGAGGTGGCACCGCCTGAGGTCTGAAGGATGAGCCGGAGTCAGCTGATGAGAGAGAGAGGGAAGAGAACACAGCTTGTTCCAAGGCCCTGAGGTTTCTCCCCAGGAGCCAGGGAGAGGGTCAAAAGGAGGTCCGCTGGTCACAGAGGGCCTTGGAGGGTGCAGGTGGTCCTTTGTGCATCTGCCAAGGGCAGCAAGAGCCCCCGAAGTGTGTCCCACGGGAGGGGGGTCAGATGTGGGGTGCAGGGCTCCCCACACTGCAGGAGCTGAAGCACCTGAAGCAAGCGGTCAGTGCCGAGGCTGGGGCCCGGTACGTGGGGAGGGCGCTTCCAGCGCGAACGAGGGCCCGAGGCGGAGATCACAGAGCAGACCCCAGGCCTCAGGGAGGAGTTGGCGGTCAGGATGCCTGCCATCCTGCCCTCCACTCTCTGCTGAGGAAGAGGCCCCTGACCCCTACTGCCCAGGTGCTCTCCACTGTCTGCCTTGTCCCTGGGGTGGCCCAGTACCAGCCAGTGGGAGCCACAGGGAACGTCAGGTGGCCAACTGCTGCCCTGTCTCCTCAGCAGTCTGCATAGAAGGACCAGTCTTTCCCTCTGCTGCCCCCGCCACCGACCCCGGAGCCTTTGACTGGCTACCCCTGCCTCTGCTTGGGGGATCCCGGGGCCCCTAATGAAGGTGTTTCAGAACTGCCCCCCGGCAGTTTTCTAGATGCTCCCCTCTCAGCCTGGGGTGACCTGCAGTTGTACCCCACCACCTTTGCTTTTGCCAGTTGCCATGCCCACCCCGCAGGGCCCCCTGGGAGTTGTGCAGTCAGATCAGCACACTGCCAGCAGGCCCCTCGAGGTGCTTTGTGCCCCTGCAGCTCTCGCAGGGGGCAGCGTGAGGGCGGGGAAATTATTGGGTGCTCCTGTTGGGCCTCAGTGAGGAGGGGTAGTGTGGATGCGCCCTCACGCCGCTGTCTGGGGCCGGAGAGGGGCAGTTCCTTCCAGAAGCTTCCCCGCCCCAAGAGTGGCGCTCCTTGGCCTGGGACTCCTTCCACCAGGCACAGGCAGCCAGTTCTCCCAGCCCTGGAGGAGAGGCTTCTAGGAATAACCTGTCTGGGGTTGACCCACCCACTCCAGGCCTGTCACAGGAACATCCTGCAGCTGCCCCACTGCCCGCTGTGTTCCGGTGCCATCAGGCCAGTCATCCTGCTGGGCAGGGACATGCCTGTCATACAGGGAGTCATTTCTCCCATGGTGTGGATGCCCCTTGCATACAGCGTGGGGAGGTGGCATCTGGAGGGAGGCCGGACTTCCTGGCGTGGAAGCAGTTCCTGGGGCACAAGATGATAAATGGTGGGTCACCCGGGTTGGGTGGTCTACTGGCGCCCCTGCCCCACTGGAGCGGGGGCGGAGTGAGCCTGCTGGAGGCCCTGACCAGGCCTGCACGTGCAGCCTGGGACTGTGAGACTTCTGCCGAGTGGCCCCTTGAACAGCACCTAGCCGACCACCGAGCAGCTCTTTAAACCACTGGTTCCAGGTGGCATCGGCTCTGGGGCCCCCTACTCCGCCCCACCGCAGCGCAAAGACAGGTTGTCCCTCCTCAGGAGTGAGCAGACAGGAGGGCGGCCTTGAGGCTCAGGAGAAGACCCTGGGCCCAGGGTTCAGGAGGCACTGAGGCCAGGCGCTACGGGACAACACCGTGATGGTCACGGCTGACAGACACGAGGGTGACTGTGTACCCTTTGCAGGTTAGGTCACCTCTGCGATCCTGGGTTTCTCGCTCGGAAGTGGCTGTTTGGAGGACATAATGGTTGGCCCCCCCAGGATACACCCAAAGCAGTCAGATTTGTGCCCTTACCTTACCCCCTGTCCCCGTCTCATTACAGGAAGTTCTACTACATCACCCTGCTGCGAGACCCCGTGTCCCGCTACCTGAGCGAGTGGCGGCACGTGCAGCGGGGGGCCACGTGGAAGACATCGCTGCACATGTGTGACGGGCGCACGCCCACGCCCGAGGAGCTGCCACCATGCTATGAGGGCACAGACTGGTCGGGCTGCACACTGCAGGAGTTCATGGACTGCCCCTACAACCTGGCCAACAACCGCCAGGTGCGCATGCTGGCCGACCTGAGCCTGGTAGGCTGCTACAACCTGTCCTTCATCCCCGAGGGCAAGCGGGCCCAGCTCCTGCTGGAGAGCGCCAAGAAGAACCTGCGGGGCATGGCCTTCTTCGGCCTGACGGAGTTCCAGCGCAAGACGCAGTACCTGTTCGAGCGGACGTTCAACCTCAAGTTCATCCGGCCCTTCATGCAGTACAACAGCACGCGGGCGGGCGGCGTGGAGGTGGACGAAGACACCATCCGGCGCATTGAGGAGCTCAACGACCTGGACATGCAGCTCTACGACTACGCCAAGGACCTCTTCCAGCAGCGCTACCAGTACAAGCGGCAGCTGGAGCGCAGGGAGCAGCGCCTCAAGAGCCGGGAGGAGCGACTGCTGCACCGGGCCAAGGAGGCGCTGCCGCGGGAGGATGCCGAGGAGCCGGGCCGAGTGCCCACAGAGGACTACATGAGCCACATCATTGAGAAGTGGTAGTGGTGGCCGGCCGTGGGGGGGTGGTCCCTTGGGGGCGGGGGGGCGGGAGAGGGGAGGTGAAATGAGACAGACAGACCACCCCACCCTAGGACTCTGGTGGGAAGAGGGTCCCAGATGCGCTCTCCAGAAGGTAGATGCGTGCTGAACAAGGCTGAGGGAGTGGGACATGGCGCCCGGCGGGGCTGGTGCTCACAGTTCCCTCCCAGACCAGGGCTGTGAGGAATCAACCAGTGCGACTCCCCCCAGGCCGGAGGAGAACATGCTTAGGGGGCGCCCCAGGCAGGGACCAGGGCAGGCGGCGTCCGTGTTTTCCTGGCCTCAGCTCACTCCCAGCGGCCGGGGGTCTGAAGACAAGAAAAAGAGAGTGGAGATGAGACTCGCCCCGCCAGGAGTGCGTCCTACACCCACTGTGCACCCCTGCTTGCTCTCTCACCACCACAGGCCAGCAGCGGCCTGACACCAGCTCCAGGCACCTTCCCAGGCTCAGGCCACCCGGGCAGTCCCTTGGCCTCTGGTGGCCCTGGTGGCCCTGGGCCTGAGTGAACCCCTTCCCTGGGCACACAGGCAGCCCCTTGAGGTGTCCTCAGGAATGGAGCTCCTAGCTCACCCATCTTCAACGGTCAGGGCCCACCTTGCCTGAAGCCGAGAAGACTCTAGTCCTTTCCCTGGGAAGCCCACTCTGTCTCTGGCCCAAGGTCAAAATGCACAGTCTGGCTTCATGCTTTGGGTCAGGAGATCAAAGCACACCGTCTGGGGCCCCTCCCCACCATTTCCCTTAGTCCTCAGGCTGAGGAGGGCTGCAGGGAGATGAGCCCACATGCACTACCCCCCATTCTGTGAGCAGAGTGCATCCCAGGAGTGGGAAGGTGTGTCCAAGGATGCTGCCACCTGTGTCCAAGCCTCCCCCCAACTGGCCTTTGGGGGTGACCACCTAGCCAGACCAGCTAGACAGGAGGAGAGTTTCCCCTGCCCCATTTACCTTTCTGAGCCTCTGAGATTTGGTAGACTGTCCCTGGCCCCGGGCTCATCGCTTGGACATTTATTCAGGGCTCATACCCCACTGTTCCCACAACCCCATGTGCAAAAGTACAATCAAGCCTCCATTGGCTAGAGCACGGCAGACTGCATGCTGCCCATGAACCATATCTTGGGGCCATGGTGGTTCTGTATGGCCAGGAGAAGGGGCTCAGACTCTCAGATTCTCAATTAGAGTTGGAAGAAATGCTCTCAGTGGCTCCGTAGCACCCACATACATGGCCCTTCCCACCCCAGGCCCTCCCTGTATTTCCCTTTGCCCACCCCCTGCCCACGAGCTGGTCAGGCCCTGGTGCTGGCAGCCCTGCAGATTGGAGAAGCCATGTTCCATATCCGTTGTAGAAACGTCCCCCCTGCCCTACCCCTCTTGTGCTCCAGGAGGCCAGGCCACTGTCTCCTCTGGGGGTGCTCTCCCCACATGAGGCCCAAGACCTGGGCTCTGGGAGCAGAGTGTGAGTCCCACACCCGAGGTGGATGAGTGCCCTGTTTCTCCAGGAGAGGACCCACACGTGCCTGCAGGCCCAAGGGCAGTGAGGGCCAGGGCTGGCCTGCTGGAGGGCAGCAGCCTCACGGGCAGATTCTACCAGGGCCTCCTCCCTGCCCCAGGTTTTCTTCAGCCATCACAGCTGCCCACCACAGAGGCGTGGAAGCAAGGAAACTTCCACAGCACCCGAAATGCTAATGTGCTGGCAAATGAGGTGGCCATCCAGGAAGAAGCAGCCTTTAGTCTTTGCCTGCCTGGTATAGGGATGGTGCCCATACCTCCTGCTTCCTATACCGACCACTTCATCTTGTAGTCCAAGGGCAGTGGTCAGCAGCCTGGGATGGGCACCACGCCAGCCCGCCCGGGACTACCCCGCAGAGTGGGTACGTCATGCTGAGCAAGTGAGCATCCAGGTGATTTAGTGGTTCTTTCAAGGGGTAGTGAAGGTCAGCATGGGGGATCTGTTCTGACACTCATCCTTTGGGATGGGCATGCTCCAGGGAGGAAGGTAGGACGCGTTCATGAGAACTCTGGGGTCCTGCACAAGCATGTCAGGTGCTGGGGGCTTGCTGTGGGCTCCATCAGGAGGTGGTCAATTCCAGGGCATACATGGAAAGCTCAGCCCTATTCTGCCCCAGTCCCTAGGCACCCGGCCCTCCTCGAGGTGGGCTTCCTGTGTGTGCAGGCTTGAGTGTAGGATCTGTTTTGTACATATTGGAATGTTTTAACTTATGATCCGTTGTCCCAATTCACACGGAAACAGGGGTCTCTTCTTGGTTTCTTTGCTGCATCTGGAAAGTGGTCCCATCTGGGGCCAGCACCCAGGCCAAGGTGCCAGAGACAGCCCCAGCTGCCAGTGCCCCTAGGCCCCTCGAGCCTTCAGTTCAGCACTTCGGCTCAGGCCGCCTGCGTGGAGGTGAAGGTTCCTCATGCCTGCAGCATCTCCAACGCTGCCCCCCACTGGGGCTCCACAGAAGGGGTGCCCTGCCCAGGGGCTCTGCCCAGGGCCCAGAGGACAGAGGCAACACGCAGGGAGCAGACAGCCCACTCCCCACACAGCCCTGCAACGTCCCCTCCCGGAGGAGGAACCAGGGATGGCAGAACTGTCCAAGCAATGAGTCTGTGACATTTTTGGGAACTGGAAGTGTTTAACTTGAACCCAGGAGTGTTTAAAGCTTTATTTATTTATAGCTTCTTATTAAAAAAAAAAAAAGTGTTGAGAAGAAATCTTTTGGTTATTCATACAAGACAAACAAGTTGGTGATGGAAAAGCAAGTCATAATCATCTAATTGTTTTTGTCTAGGTCAGGAATGAATGTTAGCAGATGAAATAAACCCTTGACAAGGAGCGCAGGAGTGCTGTGGTCTGTGGTGACAATCATCCGCCCAACGCGGTGTGGCCGGACCTTCGGGGTTTGATTGTCAAAGTGAGCATCTGAGCACAGGGATGGTGGCGGCGGCGGGGGCCTCCCTCAGGTGCAGGCAGCCAAGGAAGGAGGCATTCACACACTTTCTCACTTACGCAACGCTTTGTGAAAGGCACCTGTCGTCACCACAAAGCACGGTTTAGTAATCACCCACTGCAGCACTTGAACACAGGACCCCAGCTCAAAGTAAGGCTGGGTAATGCAGACACCGTGTGCTTCTCGGTGACCTTTCTCCTCAACTTTTAATTTGGAAAGACTGCCAACGACAAAGCGAAAGAATAGTTCGTGGTCACCCACCAACCCTTAGCCTAGATTTGCCTCAGTCAACATTCTGTCAGGTTTCACTGTCCTGCACTCACACTTGCTCTCTCTGTACACACATGCACACACGAGTCCACACAGACACACGTGTACACATTCACACATACACTGAGACGCACGGTTTTCTGAAATATTTGAAAATAAGTTGCAGTCCTCAGAATACTTCTAACCACATCAGCGTGTAGCTCCTGAGAAATGACATTCTGCTATAAGACTCAACCCCATTCTCCTCTCCCCAAATTTACCATAAATTCAGCAATATCAGCTAACATACAGTCCGTGTCTACATTTCCCTGTTGTCCCCACAACGTCTTCAGGCCATACTTGTGAGCCGAGGGCTGTGCTATCCTGCTGCTCCGGTCTCCTTTCCCCCAGGCTGCACCCCTTTCCCACCCCGCGCCGCCCACTTTTTCCCTTTCTTAGCGCTGACATTTTAACATAGACCAGTTGTCTCTTAAAATGTCTGCAGAAGTCGGGTTGTCGTCTCATGATCAGATTCCATCCAACACTGGGCCACAAATGCCACTCGGGAGATTGTTCTGGCCACTAACTTGGATGGATTTTAGTTCTCTGATGAGACAGGGAGAGCCCTTGCTTAACTTCCCAGTCTTGATGTGACCACAGGGCTGATAAAAGCAGTCATCTTGTTGCCTTTTCTTCGGGGGAAATGGATCTGTTCTGCTCAGAGCGGGGAGCTAGCTGTTGCTGAATGGTGCTAGGGCCAGGGGCCCAAGTGCACCAACTTTGCATTTCCATGCGGGTCCTGAGAGACTCAGCAGGCTGAATCAGTCCCCAGTGACTTCACATGCAAGACCCCAGGAGAGCTAGGTTGGAGCTCGTGGTTCAGACCTCAAGCCTTCCTCCCCGTCCCAGATTCTGTATCTGGATGCTCCTACCTCGTGCCGTCCACGTAGGGGGAGGAACCGGGAGGAAGGGCAGGGTGGCCTCATAGAGGAGCCCCTGAATGGCTGAGGGGTGGAGCAGAAGCCCAGGAGAGGGGGGCTCACTGCTGGTCCCCACAGCAGTCCCAGGGTACAAAGGCGGTCGCTGCCTGGTTGCTAGAGGTTTCCCACATGGGGGAGAAGGGTAGGGGCAGACACAGCTGACCCTTAAAACCCCAACCTTCAGATCCAAACAGAGCATTCTTGACCGTGTGAATCTGTGAGGGAGCGTCTCTTTAGAAACAAGAGTCCCGCAAGGGAGGCCTTCCAGGTGGAACCCTAGTGTGGAAAGACCTGTGTGGCACACCAGCCACACCCCCGTGCCCCCCACACCCCCGGCTTTGGCCTTCCCTGAACATTTCATCTGGAGCCTGCAGCCTGATTCCCCCAACACAGGATGGAAGTGTCCTCCCCTTTCCCGCGGTGCCACTGCGCTCTGAGCTCTGCGGGGCCAGGGTCCTGATGAGACAAAGACAGAGTCAGTCCTGAGGATACCTCCCCTCAAAGATGAGACTTTTCTTCTTCCTACTTCTGTTTACGTTAGAGGCGCCTGGGTGGCTCAGTCGGTTAAGCGTCCAACTCCTGATTTCGGCTCAGGTCATGATCTCAGGGTGGTGGGATCGAGCCCCGAGTGGGGCTCACGGTGGGCATGGGGCCTGCTTAAGATCCTCTCTCTCTTCTTCTCCCTCTGCCCCTCGCCCCTGCCCCCCTTGCACTGCTCTCTCGCTCTCTCAAAAAAATGAAAATAAAGTTGGAGGCCCCTTTCAGGCCTTCCTGAGACTGAGGTGGGGAGGCTCCTGGGTCCTGCCCAGCCCCTCACCCCCTCCCTGCACTCAGCATAGCCTCCCCTGTGCCACCCAGCAGGGGGGTGCCATCCACCCGCTGTGGGCCCGCCCCTCCCGCACTGCTGGACAAACTTGAGTCTGACCGAGCTCCCCTGA